GCATGAAAGCTATTTATGCGCATGAAAGCTATAGGTGCATGAAAGCTAATTATGCGCATGAAAGCTAATTATGCGCATGAAAGCTATAGGTGCACAAAAGCTATATACGCGCATGAAAGCTATATATGTGCATGAAAGCTATAGGTGCATGAAAGCTATTTATGCGCATGAAAGCTATAGGTGCACAAAAGCTATATACGCGCATGAAAGCTATATATGTGCATGAAAGCTATATATGTGCATGAAAGCTATAGGTGCATAAAAGCTATATGTGTGCATGAAAGCTATATATGCGCATGAAAGCTATATATGCACATGAAAGCTAGAGGTGCATGAAAGCTATAAAAGCATGAAAGCTATAGGTGCATGAAAGCTATTTATGCGCATGAAAGCTATAGGTGCATGAAAGCTATAGGTGCATAAAAGCTATATGTGCGCATGAAAGCTATATATGCGCATGAAAGCTATATATGCACATGAAAGCTAGAGGTTCATGAAAGCTATAAAAGCATGAAAGCTATAGGTGCATGAAAGCTATTTATGCGCATGAAAGCTATAGGTGCATGAAAGCTAATTATGCGCATGAAAGCTAATTATGCGCATGAAAGCTATAGGTGCACAAAAGCTATATACGCGCATGAAAGCTATATATGTGCATGAAAGCTATAGGTGCATGAAAGCTATAGGTGCACAAAAGCTATATACGCGCATGAAAGCTATATATGCGCATGAAAGCTATAGGTGCATGAAAGCTATAGGTGCATAAAAGCTATATGTGCGCATGAAAGCTATATATGCGCATGAAAGCTATATATGCACATGAAAGCTAGAGGTGCATGAAAGCTATAAAAGCATGAAAGCTATAGGTGCATGAAAGCTATTTATGCGCATGAAAGCTATAGGTGCATGAAAGCTATAGGTGCATAAAAGCTATATGTGCGCATGAAAGCTATATATGCGCATGAAAGCTATATATGCACATGAAAGCTAGAGGTGCATGAAAGCTATAAAAGCATGAAAGCTATAGGTGCATGAAAGCTATTTATGCGCATGAAAGCTATAGGTGCATGAAAGCTATAGGTGCATAAAAGCTATATGTGCGCATGAAAGCTATATATGCGCATGAAAGCTATATATGCACATGAAAGCTAGAGGTGCATGAAAGCTATAAAAGCATGAAAGCTATAGGTGCATGAAAGCTATTTATGCGCATGAAAGCTATAGGTGCATGAAAGCTATAGGTGCATAAAAGCTATATGTGCGCATGAAAGCTATATATGCGCATGAAAGCTATATATGCACATGAAAGCTAGAGGTGCATGAAAGCTATAAAAGCATGAAAGCTATAGGTGCATGAAAGCTATTTATGCGCATGAAAGCTATAGGTGCATGAAAGCTATAGGAGCATAAAAGCTATATGTGCGCATGAAAGCTATATATGCGCATGAAAGCTATATATGCACATGAAAGCTAGAGGTTCATGAAAGCTATAAAAGCATGAAAGCTATAGGTGCATGAAAGCTATTTATGCGCATGAAAGCTATAGGTGCATGAAAGCTAATTATGCGCATGAAAGCTAATTATGCGCATGAAAGCTATAGGTGCACAAAAGCTATATACGCGCATGAAAGCTATATATGTGCATGAAAGCTATAGGTGCATGAAAGCTATAGGTGCACAAAAGCTATATACGCGCATGAAAGCTATATATGCGCATGAAAGCTATAGGTGCATAAAAGCTATATACGCGCATGAAAGCTATATATGTGCATGAAAGCTATATATGTGCATGAAAGCTATAGGTGCATAAAAGCTATATGTGCGCATGAAAGCTATATATGCGCATGAAAGCTATATATGCACATGAAAGCTAGAGGTGCATGAAAGCTATAAAAGGATGAAAACTATAGGTGCATGAAAGCTATTTATGCGCATGAAAGCTATAGGTGCATGAAAGCTATAGGTGCATAAAAGCTATATATGTGCATGAAAGCTATAGGTGCATAAAAGCTATATGTGCGCATGAAAGCTATATATGCGCATGAAAGCTATAGGCGCATGAAAGCTATTTATGCGCATGAAAGCTATAGGTGCATGAAAGCTATAGGTGCACAAAAGCTATATACGCGCATGAAAGCTATATATGTGCATGAAAGCTATATATGTGCATGAAAGCTATAGGTGCATAAAAGCTATATGTGCCCATGAAAGCTATATATGCGCATGAAAGCTATATATGTGCATGAAAGCTATAGGTGCATAAAAGCTATATGTGCGCATGAAAGCTATATATGCGCATGAAAGCTATATATGCACATGAAAGCTAGATGTGCATGAAAGCTATAAAAGCATGAAAGCTATAGGTGCATAAAAGCTATATATGCGCATGAAAGCCATATATGCGCATGAAAGCTACAGGTGCATGAAAGCTATAGGTGCATGAAAGCTATTTATGCGCATGAAAGCTAGAGGTGCATGAAAGCTATAAAAGCATGAAAGCTATAGGTGCATAAAAGCTATATATGCGCATGAAAGCTATATATGCGCATGAAAGCTACAGGTGCATGAAAGCTATAGGTGCATAAAAGCTATATATGCGCATGAAAGGTATATATGTGCATGAAAGCTATAGGTGCATGAAAGGTATATATGTGCATGAAAGCTATAGGTGCATGAAAGCTATATGTGCATGAAAGCTATTCATGCGCATGAAAGCTATATGTGCATGAAAGCTACAGGTGCATGAAAGCTATAGGTGCATAAAAGCTATATATGCGCATGAAAGCTATAGGGGCATGAAAGCTATAGGTGCATGAAAGCTATTTATGCGCATGAAAGCTATATGTGAATGAAAGCTATATGTGCATAAAAGCCCGCACGGGATGATAAGGGAAGCAGATACACACCAATTGCAATAGTAATGAATGATGCCAACTCGTCTGTGTTCGGTAACTGATCTTTATTCCTTATTCTACACTCTTTTTAATACTTCACATTCATGACCACTCATTCCACTTCTCCCACGCCTTTTTGAATTTAAACATCCATGAATGAAAACAACTCACCACGTCCAGTCATACCACATAACAACAACATCACAGGCCAATCAGGTCACAAAGTTCACTCACTTCTCACAATGATAATCGTCAGTCATGCATACTGTCACACCAATTACGAAATATATCGTTAGCACGAAGACCCACCCATAGGGGCGGTACTTTAAGAAGACAGACTACACTGCGCAAGGGGGGGGGGTTGTTCTGGCCAGGGAGCAGTTTTTTTTTCTTCTTTATATTGAGGGGTGGCGTT